GACGAGCCCATGACAATAACACCTGGCAGTTGTTTATGCCCAGTAAGATCTATGCTAATTATGAAGCTCCCACTGAAATGGGTTGACCAACTCAATTGGTTGAGCTTGGACTGAATGTGTAAGACCCATAAACCTTTTTTAATCTACCTGGCAGGCTGGCAGACATGAATTCGGCTCTCCTGTCAGCTCACATGTGGTCCACCCGTGGCTCGTTGATCAAGAAGTATGATTCTCGCTTAGGGTACGAGAGGTCCCGGGTTCTAATCCCCGACGAGCCCCCAGTGTGAGGTTCTTTATGCCTAGTAAGATCTATGCTAACTAGATCCGAGCTTGGATATCTTGTTTGTGTAAGGATGTCCAGAAACATCTTTGTTATCCATGAACTAGTGACTGTAAAACCGTGTCCTTGCACGTTTTAGACAAATATCAATTTGGCTCTGTTACTACCTCTCATACCTTTTGCACAGAACAGCAGAAGCCAGAAAATGGGATTCAGCAGGGCTTTCTTGTGGCTCGTTGGTCTAGAGGTATGATTCTCGCTTAGGGTGCGAGAGGTCCAGGGTTCAAACCCCAGACGAGCCCCTGACAGTAACACCTTGGGGACCTCTGCTAATTAATGCACTCACAAGTTTACTGCAAGACTAAAAAACCTTCAAAACCTTCTCAGGTCTGAAGTACCTTATTCTGAATTCTTTCTGTCTCAGAGAGATGTTTAATAATGCGTAAAGTGATCGAAAAAGCAGCGCTTCCTGTTGCTTCAACCGCTGTGAAATCAGACTCTTGCTTTCACAAAGAGTAAGGGCTCTTTGTTGCACGGTGGTCTGGGGGTATATAGGGTGTGAGAAGTCCCAGGTTCAAATCCCTCCACAGGAAATGCATGAAAATCTTTATGGTACCAGCGCATTTCAGGCACTGTCTGGAGTATATATCTCTCCCACACACAGAATATTCAGTATCTTCTCATACAATAAGTATCCACTTGTGACAGATGTTCCTATACTGCAGTTTGCTATTGTTTGTAATATGTCTTTGTTATTGCTGTTTTTGTTTTTGTACTGGTGCACCAGCAGTTCAGGCAGCAATACTGCCAGTATGCACGTTGAATGCATAACAATGAAATCAAGTTAAATTGAACACCAATTACTAGCATATGTCAGCTTTAATAGAGCTCACACTGTCATAATTTTTATTATGAGTTTTGCAGGAAGTTAGTCATGCGCATATCCTGTCCTATATTTAGGGCCAGGTGCAGCATAACAGATACACGACAGAACCTGCACACTGGATTAAAGCTCCCAAAACTATATGGAGTATACCTTCTTATTTTTCAGTCAGCATTCGGCATACCGTTTTTCCTAGGATGGCAAAGCCAATTTTCATGAGAAAGATGGAGGTAGGAATAAGGAATACTTCACTGAAAATGCATCATTATGTAGTTGCCTTATCCATCTGTGGACCAGCGTTGATTGCAAAATCTCTTCAGTGGCTAATGCTTATTTCATATTGATCATTACTGCCTGAAGTCTAGCAGCAGAAGTTAAGTAACAATGTGCAAATAACACTTGCCCATTTTTGGGTGAACTAAATATACAAGAGTTGCTGTACATGTATAATAGGGTAACATGATGACACAGTATAATAATAAATGAACCCACCATAGTTTAAGATAGAACTATATTGTACAATTGTAATGGTAATTTTAGGTAAAGATACAGATAACAATCATTTTTAGTTAATTACTTGTGCAAGTGTTGCTGTTTGGCTTTACAGAGGAGAAAATGTAGAAAGTCCATCTCCTCTGTATCACACATGCTAATCTGTTATTGACTAAATGCCACCAAGTGGTGCTAAAGATGATGCCAATTTGACACATTTATCAATAGGGGGTCTTGCATTAAGTCACATACTACAGGATCAGATCCTCCAGACCCACGTATGCTCAGAAAAATGCTAAACATATTCTTTTTTCACATGTGCCAATCTTTTATCGGCTGAACCCTGTTGTTTGATCAGCAGTATTGGATGTAAAAAAAGAGTCCACACTTGTATTCAGTAGGACTTCTACTAGGCACCACAGCCCTACAGTGTAAACTCCTCACAGACAGTACTGTTACCAGGCCTGCCCCCCCCCCCCCCCC